CCCCATCCCCCACCCCTTCATCCCCATCCCCCACCCCTTCATCCCCATCCCCCACCCCATCCCCCACCCCTTCATCCCCTTCCAATCTCTCCATCCCCTCATTCTAGCCCAACCCCCGGCTGCTCATCAAAACTGTGACCATCCCTCAACCCAGGAGCCCCACGCCATGCTGCATGGTTTGAAATGAGCCTCGAGCTCCCAGCCCTTCTGCTCCCCACCCAGCACCCAGCACCTCCCAGGAGCAGGCACTGACACCAGGGATGCTGGGCTTCGCAGCACACCTCATCCATGCACCAGGCCCTTATTAAGCATGTACTATGGACCAGGCACCGTATGGGGCTTAGGCTACAATGATGAACAAGACAACATCCCTGCCATCATGGGCTCACAGTCTAGGCCAGGGACAAAAATCTGTAGGGTTACAGGAATGGAAATTCACCAGGCAGATGGGGATGAGGACGGAGAGAAGGAATTCCTTCCCCAAACCGTATGTGGTCTGTGACGGCCAGTGAGGCTGGGACATCGAAGAAAGGTCTGCCCAGGGAGCTTGTAGTCCAGAGGGGTGAGGGGCCAGACAGCCCCATGACTCTCACAGGAAGTCATAAGTGCGTTTTAGAAGAACAGGTAAGGTGTCAAGAATTTGCACACAAGGGAGAGAGGATGCTGGGTTGGAGGTCTCCCAGGAGGCCGCATGGGCTGGGTTTTGAAGAACATAAAGGATGGATGTGCAGAGCTGGAAGAACGTTCCAGAAGGAAGAGGTGGAGTCGGGGGATGTGTGTTCTGGAGGAGTCAGGGCCAAGGGCACAGGGACAGGAAGGACATTTTGGAGCACTAGGCCCTAGGCCTAGGGGCACCCCTCAAATGTGACAGCCGAGCTGGGGCTGCTGAGTTTGGGGGTGCTGTGCATGAAGCCTTGGGCAATATTCTGGCCCACCTTCCTTGGTTTAAATTTTCTTAGTACTTTTGCAGAAAAACATTTCTGTATTAAAATAAACACGCAAAAAGACAGAATGCAAAATATGAAGAGATTTAAGATAAAAAAATACAACTTCAGAGAAGTTCCCACTGCCTCCAGAAGGCCCCTCCCTGTGCACACGCCCTCGGGGCCACAGCAGGGCAGATCTGAGAAGCCTGAGGTCCTTGGTAGATAGCACCGGGCCCGCAGATGAGAAACCAGGCCCAGAGAGGGTGTGTCACGTGCTAACAGTCACACAGCCACCCCGAGCAGCAGAATCAGGCCTGGAACAGGCCTGATATCTGTGTGCAGCTGACGAGCGGGGTGTGGGAGAGAATGGAGGGGAATGCAGGCCGCGTGCGAAGAAGAACTCGCGAGGAACAGGGAGAGCGCTACAGCTGCAATGAGATCCAGGTACTGTCCCGCCCGCTTCCGTGGGGCCACGGCTTGCCCCCAGATGGAGCGGGACTGGCATCGAGCGGCGGCACCATCCCTGTGGCAGAAGCAGGAAACGCCCTCTTTTCTGTGCTTCTTTGTCAGTGTTGTTCTGCGGAGCAGAGGGCGCCCCTTGCCGACCGAGCGACCGAGAGCAAGCGCCAGAGGAAGGCTCGCAGCCCTCTGGGACCCCTCTCCCGGGCCCTTCCCACGACGAGGGCGTGGCCTGTGGTCAGCGCGACTGGAGAGAACCGGATTCCTTTCCATTTCTGGGTCAGTGAGACCAGGCATCCCGTGGCTATGGAAATCAAGAGCTATGTTGTTTTCCTAGTAGGAAAAAAACAAAAACCTCTCCAAAACAGGACCCTGAAATGGTAAGAGCTATCTGTGGCTTGGGATTAGCTCGAAATGCTCCTTGACTAGGAGACGGTTGCCACAGTTTGCAGCTGGATGCTACTGTCCGTGTTGGCATCCTTCTCTTTCTTCAGAATGTGCTGAGTGTGTGAAGGAACCAGCCAACGTCCTGGAGATCCTCGGGCCACCTCAAGTACTGCCGTTTCCGCACGAACCCTCTGATGCACTGATGCTTCATTAGCTGGTACTGGGACAGGGACCCGACGATCACCAGGATGAGGGCGCTGTCCAGGTCAGACACGCACCTGCTCTGGGCGTAAGTGAAGGCTTCCAGGCACCACCCGTCTTGGAGGAAGTGTCTGCTCATGAGGCAGACCACCTTCCTGCTGCCCCACACGGCATCCTTGATGTTGGTGACGTGCTCCCGCCCCGGGACAAAGTCTCTTTCTTCAAAGCACAGGTTGAATCTGAGCATCCAGGTATCTGAGCAGAGCCCTCTGCACCCACTCAAAGTCTCTGCCGCTGAAGCAGAGGTAGGCCTCGTATTTGTACGTGTCGGACTCACAGCGCTCGGCATGGACCGTGGGCAGCAGTCTCTGGGCAGCCCTGTAACACATGAAACAAAGCCCCCTGAGCTTGGTGACCATGAGGATGGTCACGAGGAACAGAGTCAGGGTGACCGTGCAGGAGATGAAAAGGGACAACTTTAGGGCCTTCAAGACCTCCTCTTCATCGCAGCCCTCCATGGAAACAGAGCAGAGGGGCATCCCTGCGAGCGTGTTGGGGTACGTGCAGTAGGTATCTGCACGAGACCCAAATACAGTGACGTTGGTCTGGTTGAGCCAAGTAATGAGAGGATGGAGGTCACACTCACAGATGAACCTGGTGTGCATTATGTCCACGGCTCTGAGGGACACCAGCAAGTTGGGGTCCAGGGACAGGAGCTGGTTTCTGGACATGTCCAGCACCTCCAGGTTAGCAGGCAAGTCGCCAGGAGCAAGAGCCTGAATCAGCCTGTTGGAGTTGAGGTCGAGACCCCTCAGCGCAGTCAGGTGAGTAAGTGCCCCGGGCGGGAGGAAGGCCAAGTAGTTGTTGTTCAGATACAGGATTTGGAGCCGTGAGAGCCCCTTGAACACATCCCAGCAGAAGCCGGTTTCCCAGGCAAGCTGCAATATGTTTCCTCCAAGGAAAAGCTTTTCTTAAGCTGAGGCTCCCTGTTGGGCCGTGAGCTCGGCTGCAAGAGGAAAAGCGGTTTTGATTCAGAATGAGGACCTGGAGGTCAGGGACGCAGAGGAGGAAATAGAGATCATCCACATCTTCCAGCCTATTCTCTGACAAGTGGATGAACTTGGCTTTAAGTCTCATGTTCGGCAAGGCTGCCAGTTTATTGCTACCCAAGAAGATAGTGTCTAGGCTTGGCAGAAAAGGAATTGTTTTAAGAGCATTTTCCCGGAGATCCAAGGTATGTAATGTTTTCAGGAATCTGAAGGTCTGGTCCTGAATGATCCCAATGTGATTGTTTTGAAGATCGATATAGGCTACCTGAGGGAGTCCACAGAAATCAGAATTATAAAGCTCCCCCAGGAGGTTATGTGACATGTTGAGAACGTGGAGGCTGTCGAGGCCATAAAATGCTTCTCTTGTAATCCTGTTTATTTTGTTTTGGGCCAGGTTCAGGAGCTTCAAGTCCTTGAGGGCCTCAAAGAGTCGGAAGTTCAGGGAGAAGATGAAGCCATGGGACAGATCCAGCTGCAGCTCCGCACTCCCGGCCAGGCCAGCAAATGTGTCCCGGTCGGGGTCCCTGATGTTCTGGAAGCCAAACCCGGACCCCATAATGTGGTGGGCCAGAACCAGAGAGATCTGGCTCCCGTGACGTCCACGGTCCAGCCGTTGTCAGAAACGTTCAGGGTTTCTAGGACCATGTTTGTAAACAGGTTCATGCACGTGCCCCAGTCCACGGAGACCCTGCTGTACAGGTGACTGGCAGCAAGGTTTAACAGGGAGAGCATTTTTCCCTTGCAGCGGCTAGAGCTCAAGTTCACACACAATGGGGATCTGGTTGAGGGAAAAATCAATGGACTTCAGGGAATTCAATTCCCAGAATGAAGGATGAAGGTTAAGGCTATGAATCTGATTCTTGGACAGGTCCAGGTGAGACAAGACTCTAAGTTTCTGAAATAACCATCTTTTAATATATTATCGGGCAGACCACGTGGAAGAGTCCAAGTTCAAGCAGGTGGGCCAGCCCCTGAAAAGCATCGCGATGCAGGAAATCCACCTGACTCTTGCCCAGGTCCAAGACCCTCAGGTTGGGCAGCTTTCTGAAGGGTTTTCTGCCAATGGTGAAGGGGATAAACTGAGTCCCAAGCTCAGCAGCTGCAGCCGCTCCAGGAAGGGGAAGGATGTGGTTGTGACAGTCTGGATGTAGTTGAAGCTCAGCAGGAGGGTCTGGGTGGTGCTGGGGACCGGGGGCACCTGGGTGAGGTTGCAGGAGCGATACAAGGCCCTCGGACCGTCAGAGGCACAGGAAGGAATCACAAGCACAGGGCCGGCTGCAAGCATCACCCCGAACAGAAAGTCCAGGTGGCCTCCCATGATCCTGCGGGGAAGGAGGGAGGACGGAAACATAGCTGTCCCAGCTCAAGGCATCGCACCCGGGCCCCTAGGACTCAGGGGCTCCCCCATGATGCGCCCACTCCTCCAGACCCCGTGGCGTGGCCGTGGCTGACGTGTCAGTGCAGATAGTGCTTCTCGTTCTGGCTTACACTGTGTAGTAAGCGCTGTTCTAAGTACCTCAGAGGTTCTTGATCTTTGTAACAGTCTGTTTCTCATTCATTAGTTCATGCAATCACTTATTCAAGGTTTGCAGAGAAAGCTGGAGAAAATAGCAGGTAGAGACACATTTGTGTTCCCCCTCCCCCGCCCCTGCCAGGGACCCCTCCTCACCTGCTGTCGGCTCCATGGCTGCTCCCCAGCTGCCCTGGCCAGGGCACAAGCCCATCTACCCCTCTGCCCTCGCTCCACATACATGGCACATGGGATCACACACAGCACATGGATCACACACAGCACACAGGATCACGCACGGCACATGGGATCATGCACGGCACATGGGATCTCGCACGGCACGTCGTATCACACACAGCACGTCATATCACAGCATGTCGCATCACACATGGCACATCTCATCACACAAACGCTCGCCCTTTTTGTCAATCTCCATGAAGCATCGGACGTCGTGGTGGGTCTAGAACAGCCTGTGGGCGTCAGTACAGGGCATCCATACCTGCGTCTGGCTTGTGTCCCCAGTACTGTGCCGGGTGGTGAGGCGTCCCGTCTCCTGTGCTGGGGGCGCATTCAGCCTGCTCTGAGTGGAACCTCCGGAGGAAAGGAAGGACCCCGTGGCTTGGAGGATGGAGAATGGGGTGAAGGAAGGGGGTAACAGTAAGCAGGTGTGGGTCTGCACAGAGCCTTAACCCGCGGCCACGGAGACAGCTTCCCATGGGGCTGGCCCACAGCTCTACAGAGGCTTTGTTCCGCCTTGGGGCTGATTTGTGGTGGGGTTTCCATGGAAACCCTGAGGCTGAGACACACAAATTACAGCAAATCAGAAGTAGGCATGCACCGGAGTTGACCCCAAGCATTTGAACCGTGCATTTACTAATCATGGGGAAGAACTCGGCGAGAATGTTGATCAGGGTTGCTCATTTCTCCACCATTTCTGCCGAGGCTGAGGCAGGGGCGGCAGCAGCGGAGGCCCCGCACCTCTTGTGGGCCGCTCGCCCTGTCTATGGCCTGGAGACCCCCCTGTCCCCACTCACTTCTGGTCTCTCCTTGCGTTCCCCAGGCGGCTCCCCTCCTTCTCACTTCTGTGGTCCGTCTCCACCTGTCTCCCCAGCATCATCTGGACAAGCGTGCGCTGCACGTCCGCCATATGCTGGGTGCTATTTGGGGCCCAGGAGGGGGTGAACAAACAGGCCACGCTCGTCTTCGCGGGCTTATGTTCTAGTGCAGGCAAGCGAGGAAGGGGTGACACCCAACAGAAGAAGGAACATAAACCGGCAACATGGAGACTGGGACCGCCAGGGTGGGGGCTGGCGGCTATTTGTAGAGTAGCTGGGAAAGCCCTCCCCAATGATACTTTATTTGAGCAGAGACCCGAGGGAAGAACAGGAAACAGAGAGGCCCGGTGTTAGTTCCACCACACGGGGCTCCCATCTGCCACCCCAAACTCTGTTCAACCTCAGGGCCTTGGCACATGCTGCTTCCTGTTTGCTGCTCACATGGCTGGATCTCACGTGGACACTTCCTCAAGAGCTTTCCCCCACACTCACTACTCGCAATAACTCCCCATCCCCTGACTCTTGAAACCACCCTGCGTATTTTCCAAGTCTTTCATCACCTTGTGCGACCTCTGGTTTCCTTATCTGTGGTCTGTCTCCCTGACTCGGCTACCTTTACCATCAGCGCAGCAGGTGGGGAAGGATGCTTGCCGCCAGAAAGGAAATACAAAGTGGAGTGAGTCACCCCACCGGCGAAATGTCAGGGCATTCGATCTGCTGGAGGAACTGTCTCTGGTAAGAAGGAAACTGCATTTTATCCACAAAACGTCCCGTGTAGCACAGGGGCTCCCGACGGGGACGCTGCCTCTGCCGGAGCATCCTGTGAGCACGTGGGGAGTTTCGGGGTGTTTTGGTCGCAGAGAGGAGGTGACAGGAGCCCCCCAGGGAGCGGGGAGGCTCGCTGGGTGCCCATGGCTGGAGGATGTCCCACCAGGTGGCCCCGGAAGCTAAAACCGTGCTCAAAACTACCTCAGAGCCTGACTCTCTTCTCAGGGCCAACAATGTATTTCTTGCACTGTTTTACTATATACTGAGTTTTCCAGGCACGTGACCACCTTGTAAATCTAGGGATGATCGTACCTTGTTCCGTTTGGAGCTTGACGAGGAGTTATTCACCATTTCAGAAAATCCCTTCATGGTGCCGAAGGCCCCGGGGGGGCGCCTGGAACCATGTGTGCACGTGCGTGTGTGCATGCGTGTAAGCAAGTGTATTCGACCCTCATTTCTAAATGTCAAATGTAATTTTTAAAAAGTTTAAAAAATGTCCAATAAATCTTTTCCTACATCTCTTAAATCCAAACTTTTTTTTTTTTTTTTTTTTTTTAAGATTTTAGCAGGGAGAGTGGGAGAGGGAGAAGCAGGCTTCCCACGGAGCAGGGAGCCCGATGCGGGACTCGATCCCAGGACCCTGGGACCATGACTGAGCTGAAGGCAGATGCTTAATGACTGAGCCACCCAGGCGCCCCGAACTTATTCTTTATATGTGAGTTTGAGAGTCCAAATCACTCATTTTGCCTCCTAGTGTGGGGCTCATATTAATTCATCATAAATGACTTTCCCTTTAACTTCTTTTGGATATTCCTGTTAGGGCATTACACTGATTTCTTTAAAATTCTGTGTATGGGTAAATTAGATTAGATGTGTGATTCCATTTCAGAATGGAAAAGTCTGGTCATTTAAACATTTGTGGTAAAAAGCTGCTTTCCTAAGCACTGCAGCCCCGAGGTAAAGCTTCTAGTCCCTTCTTCCCACGTTCACTGTAGACGCTGCGATGATTAAAGCCAGATATTCTTACATACTATTTCCACCCACGTAGCGTGTGGTTGTCCCTCGCACAGATGATCAGACTGAGTCACAAAAGTAAAATTGCTGCTTTCTTCCTCAGTGAATTTCTTTTGGATTCAGGTGGGCCTTGGAGCCAACGACCTTGTATTTACAGAAGACACACCTGTGTTCTGGGAAGTGGGATTCAAGTTCAGAGTGATCTCAGTAGATAAAGTGGAGACTACTCAGAAAGCAAGCAGAAACGGGCAGATGCAGCGTTACGGCCCCTCGGCAGCCCCAGAGGCCAGCCCTAGCCCCCTACGAGGGCACGGGCTCTCACAACACCATCCCTGCCATCCCGATTCCTGAGCGAACCAGCCTGGGAAGGGCAGCCTGGCACCTTCACGGAGACGGGACGAGAGATGGTGGGTTCCTGTGGCGACCCTGCATCAGGCTCTGAGCTCCCAGCACGCGTCCCGGGCTGTAGTTCCAGAATTTGGGGCAGCACTGGGCCACGTGGTGGGAGCCGTGGTTCTCGGGAGGGAGATCCTCCTAGAGACACACACAGAATCTCAGAGGTGCTCTGAAGGAGGCAGGAAGAGCACTGAGGATGTGGGAGACGCGTGGTTGGGGAAGACCACACTCTGTCTCCCCAGCCTTCTTCCTGTCTCACGGTGGGAACGGGGCCCTAAAGCAACATGCAGGGACCGCACTCTACAGTAGTTCTTAAATACTTTGAGACTCCAATAGCTCTGATTCCTTGACCTCCAAAGACGCACACGCGTATCAGGAACCAGACTTTGCACCGAGCTTCCAGGGTTCATGGACCTCCTGACGGCTGCTCCTTCCAACCCATCACTCACGAGGAACAACCAGCACGTTCTGCAAAGAGCCCGATGGTAAACATTTCAGGCTTTGCAGTCCAAATACCACAGTTTGCCAACCTTTGTTCTAGAACAGAATAGAAACTTTGATTTCACAAATGAGGATTTTAAGTGAGTGTAAGATAAACATATCCTGATACTGAGCCGCCAGTATTTGCAGGAAGAACTCACTCGGCCCCAAGTTGTTCAAACATCAGAATGAATTCTCATCTTACATAACCATACAGAAAAATCCCTGCAGAGACACACAAGCAGTAACACCAGCTCAGAATAACAGTCGAATGTCCTAGTTTCACTTTTGCCTTTTTACAGAAGCCTCCTTGCCGACCCCCAAATGCCTACCCTGGGCTAGGGGGCTCGGCCCTGAACTCGTGGCAATAACAAGTGATACACGGGAGCCCCACACAGCACGCTCTAAGATGCTGAGCTGTCAAGCCCGTGTACAAACAGTGAGGTGGGTAAGGCCAGATTTTAAAGAAAATTATTTGGGCTTATGTTGGTTGTATCACAAAGATACAATGCAGGCCGATTTTCATATGAAATACAGAAAGGTGTGAGACACTACATTTCTACCTCTGAGGAGGGCCTCGGGGGGGTCAAGTTCCAGGACAAGTGAGCGGACAGGTGCGGGGAGGCATGACTGCCCAAGCGGAGGGTCCTGGAATGGGAGCCAGAAGCCCACGTGGGTTGAAGTAAATAGGAACAAGTCCTCTTGTAGGGCGCGTCGAACCTAACAATGAGAACCAGGCTCTGAAGTTGCTCCGGACCCCGTCAGACCTCCACGAGAGACACAGGCGGTGGCGGCGCCAGGAGCAGGTGGGAGCGGGCGTGGACTTCAGGGAGTCCGAGAGAGAAGACCAAGGGCCCCCACGTGAGGTGAAGCCGAGGGAGCGGGAGGGGTGCGTGCATGTGGAGCACGTCTCAGAGGATGCGCTCGCGTCTCCCCAAGCTCCACAGCAGAGAGCGGCCACCTCGTGGTGCAAGGAGCGGACACGCGCTCCTGAATCGTTACTGAGCAGATGATGGACAACGGCTTACCCTGCTACCTGTGAGCGCGTCAGGTGACGTACGTGTTCCTTCCCCCAAATCCCGTGCTACGCAAACTCACACGACAAAAGTGGGGCTTCCGGAGAAAGGAGGCTAGTGTCCAACACTCAAAATCTTCCCTGGCGGCACCAAAAAACCTGATAGAGAAGGTAGCGCCGTCTTATAGATGTTACATGGTTATGAAAGACACGGTGCAGGAGACCGCTTTCACCTTGAGGGTCACTTGAGCCTGCGTCCAGGCTTGCGTTGAGCTGCGCCGGGCAGGGGACGAGGTAGACAGCAGTGACAGCAGATGCGGGAGGGGGACCGAGGTCCCCGACAGGTTCACAAGGGTGTTGTGTTTATTCACATATGGGGTGGCTCAGCTGGGCCCAGTTTTCTTCATTTAAACCTAAGAAAATGCCCACGAGCCCACATGAAATTCACATTTCCTAGCGTGTGGATTAAAAAAGCACGTTAGTCAAAGCACGTGTTGGAGCATCTATGCTTCAATTCAAGGCTAACAGTTCGGAGGACAGAAGCTGCTGTTCTGTCTGAGAGCCTCTGGCAGAGCCTGGAGAGCCTGCAGGACGGGCTTGGGGACCCGCTGGGGCCGGCGTGGACTCGGGTCCCAGAGGCTCAGGGACCTGGGTGGATCCACTCCCCAGCCCTGGCGCACTCATGCTTCGATGAAGGACAGACGAGCAGAGAAGGTCTCACCGGGGCTGCAGGTCAGAGTCGCCGGGGGGCGGGACGGGGGGAGGAAGTCCAGGCCTCCCGTAGACCAGGGGCAGGACACAGCCTTACAGTGGGCCTCTGAACTCTCAGCAAGTGTGTGAACTTTCTGCACACGCAAACCGGAGACTCCCTGGTGTAGACGAATGGTTCTTGAACTCGGCCGTCCTTTGGAATCGCCAGGGACATGAAAACAGTACAGGTACCTGGGTCCCCTTGGAGAGATGGGGATGGCGGGGGCGTCCGGAGGGGCTCAATCGCTCCAGGTGATTGTAAGCACAGAATGCCAGATACGCCAGCCTCACAGCTGCCATGCTGACTCACCCCAGAACTGCCTCGGGACACAATCCCACTGTGGGTCCATTCCCAAGGGGACGGAAGGCAGAAAGAGCACCATGTGCGTGACCACCGACAGGCAAGCAGGTTGACAAACTGCGTTGCACACAAAATGTACGAGTCAGCCTCAGCACGGAGGAGACTCCGACGGCTGGTGTGACTAGCGAACCTTGAGGACATCATGCCCAGTGACATAAGCCAGTCCCAGAGGCCAAAGGTGGCGTGATTCCATGTGTGTGAGCCAGCTGGTGTCTGGGCTCTGAGGGCGGCGGGAGCGGCACAGGCGATGTGGCGCCACACTCCTGCCAAGCGC